AAGCAAAACTTAAAGTAAAAAAACGCATCTGCATGAAGGCGGCGCTTTTGCTGCCAACGGATTTCGCCTGCGTGTCGTCTGCCTTCTTTCGCTGGTCGGCTGCACCTTCGGGCGCTGCCTCCCGACGCTATCTATCATTACGAACGACAAACACACCCCGCTACTGAACCCCTGTCGTCTGCGTCGCTGCCCGCAGTAGACCCTGGCAAGTTTCTTGACCTTATATTTTACAGAAAGAGAACTACGCCTTGTAATTTTACAAGAAAAAACGGACTTGTGAAATACACCTTTGACGAAAAGCTTAGATTGCTACGTGCAGGCGTCGATTTTTGCGGTCCATTTTAGAGCGAGCCCGGTGACTTGGACCACCCTATAGTATAGGCTCGGCATCGTATTCCGTTATCCAAGTTTCCGAGCCTTTGTTTAGTTTCAAGATTCTTAAGAGTTTCAAGAATTTTTTTAAAGCATAAAAGGCGATATTTTGTAATTATTTGTGGCCCTTTGCTTTCTGTTTCTTCGGCGTCATGCTCCCTGCCGTTACCCCACTCGCCATTCTCATGCTTATTCTTATCTTCAAAATTCGTTTCTTGTGCGTACGCAAATGTTTGAACCCACTTTCGATATCGGTATTTTCATATAATCCCGTTTGAGATTTTATAGCTACCTTGACACATGTAAAATTTCAATCAAAATATATTAAGACTCACTCTTTAAAGCCATAGACGATGCCATCCAGACGAAGAGATAATTGAGGAATACTTTTTTTGTGATGGATGCCTCCCTGCGCGATCATCGTCGGTGGCGTTGGCTCGACGTCGCCGGTTGAATTGACGCTGTTGCTCGCGTCGGCACTCGACGTGGGTGAGGTCTTCGTCGGAGGGAGCTTGGTCGGCACTCCAACTTGCTGTCGGGCTGGGAGCAGCGGCAACGCCGGTTTCACGTTGGCGGCGTGCCCATTCTTGCTTCTGGGTGCGCCGACGCTCCTCTTACTCCCGCTGCTCCTCTTCGGAACGTGCAACATTGGTGCGACCTATCTGAAGTCTGAAGTCCAAAAAATAAGAAGAGTGGCACGATCTCTACGTCACAGACAGAGGACAGACATGATTCGTGGTTTGGTCAATGACGTTTTATTATAGCATGGCTACGCGAATCGCGGTCAGGCTCTACACTCTTAGAAAAAAGGGTCAGTATAGTCCTCCCTAAAGGGAGGAACGCTCTTGACACATATGTTCCTTCAGAAAGGGAGAAACTTTCGTCCCTTAAGCAGGGGAGGAAAAGTTCCTCCGTCGACTGCATCTCATTATGGCGGCCATGAATCGAGCAAATCGAGCTCGGTAAGGCTTAACGAGAACACTAAGTCTATTCCACGAAGCGAGAGGAGCAGGAAATAAAAACGTAACACGAGCTTTCCGCGAACTTTATTCATTTCCGAAGTTTCTTTACCCCTGCAGGTAAAGAAACTTACGTTTCGAAAGCATGCAGTCACTCAGTCTTCTCATCGTCAGCACTGCGATGTTCAACGGAGACAACCGGCACTCAGTTCGCGCACTTTATGTCCTACCTTTGCTATTCCTCGAGCCACAATTCCTTCGTCAACCGTTGCGTCAACCGCACATCACGGAGGAGTGAAAATCATTCGCCCGCAAAACCAAAAGCCGCTCTCAAAAAAAAAAGCAAATCCGAAGCAACCTCTTGGCTTATCTCAGCACGGTAACACGAAATTATGGCGTAGCCGCGTAGCGTAAAAGGATGTTAAATCGCTTGCCACCAGATGGCAGGGTCAAGCAGAGTAGTCGCACGTAGCTAGGCTAGGTGGCGCTAGGTACCGCCCAATTCATGTTTTACAAAAAAATATTTTTATTTTCTTACGCCACAATTGCGTTTCCTTTTCTTCGGAATCTCTACCACATGTAGACACGTTGCGCACACTACAAGCATCAGGTCAACATATATTGAACGCATACACAGGCATCGCACATACAAACATCAATACAACAGCACACTACCCCGATCACTACTACCGAGCCCTGCGTTTCCGTCTTTTATAGTGGTCGTTTTGAACGTACGGAATTTTTCGGTGACTCCCTAAGCAAAAACAAATATTCCGAACATGTTCATTTTTTTTCCAGCAATGTCATACATCTGAGGCTATCTTTAATGGCTACGGGGATGAATCTCTTATTAAAAAGAAGACGCTCGATCATGCCATAATTATTTGAAAGCCAATAAATCGAGCCGCTCTAATGTGGTTCCAAGCCATGAGTTTGTTTTCCCGCATGGCCCTTCGTAGCCAGTATTTATATTGTGGTGTTCGTTTTTCTATTTGTGCTGTTCGCGCAAAGCTGCAATTGCCGTCTTGAATTAATCTCTGTAGAGCGGATATCCACTCAGCTGGAAGTGATGCTTCACGGGCACAGAAATCGCTTTTCGATCAACTTGAATGCAGTCAAAGCCGCGACTTGCGACAACTGTTAAGTGTACGGAGCTGCGCCATTGCGAGCTCGAAAACTTCTAGCGCTCATCCCAGCGCGCCACTTAGAGGGCAGTTTCTACAGGAACCGTAATATATTTAAACAGTTAAATAAAGGATAGCGTTTTTTTGTTTGTTTTTCGATTTTGCCTGTCTTTTTTTTTTATGCTAAACTTCCATTATAAATATACGTACTTTCCGTCATACTTTCGTAGTGTTGTCTTTTCCCCAGAGCGCAATCGCTCTCGGGGACCGACAGTCACATTGGCCACTGTACGATAGGAGCTTACCGTTCAGACCAGCGTTCCAACATGACTATCCACACGTCGATCGACTGCACCTAATCCCTCAAGTGGTTTTAAACTCTTTAATGTAAAGCGGAATGTCATCCTGCGACACCCCGGCCCCTCCGATAACGGCCCGACCAGCGGCATCAATGCCCGACAGTTTACGTCATCTTATCTTGTTGTTACACCACTGATACGCGAACACACGGTCACATCGGCGATAATTCCAGTCTTCTGTTCACAACCCACAACACTGCCATCACGATGTCGCTGACACGAAGAAATACAGAACCACGTTGACGATGTTGCTGACACGCAGAGGAATCACGTTGAACGCCGGTTGGCACTCGGCACGGGACAACGGAACCGAACTCAGCACGGAAGGCACCCAGGCAGCCGGCAGGAAAACCTGCCTTCCTTGGACGCAGTTCTCGCGATTTCCATAACGTCGAAAACGTCGACACAGGTCCTCGTGGTTTCGCTGCTGTAGCAGCTGTAGCTGTAGTTCCGCGTGTGTCCCGCAAATTGGAGACGGCCGTCTTACCCAGTGTATGTAGCGCTGCTGGCACTGCTCCGGAACTTCGCTGTTTCTAGCGACTTCGTTAGCTCGTTTGATAAAATTAGTGGTAAAAACGTCAATGCAACCGAAATGTTCTGCACGTTTGGACTAGAAGACGGAATTAGAGGCGGCCTTCGCTGCCGCTGAAGCTCAATCAACTCAACATTAATTTACTAAACAACGTGCGCGATGTGCTCGAAAAACGAAACCGAAAGAAGATGGGTCGGGAGGGTGAAAGCTTTCTCCGGTCTGCCTGGAGGAGGAAAACGTCTCGGAGCATAATAAGGACTTTAATTTTCCTTTCATCGGTCTGGGTTTGTTTATGTGTGTTTTGGTAAACAAAAAAAAAAAAAAAACTTTACAAAAAAAAAACAAAAAAAAACACTTTTCTGGGGATCGAACCGTTGACCACTTGGTCAGTAGCGCGATGTTCTACCCCTGCGCCAACTGAACAAGGAGGAACTCGCCCTCCTCCTTTCATCTGAACTGCCGTTCCTCCCTTCTCTGGGCAACTTGTCCGCAACAAGGAGGAACAGTCGCTTTTGCTACCTTTCTCCTCCCTTTTTTCTTAGAGTGTAGTGCGCCGCACAGGTGGCCGCTGAAGAGCGCGCGGCGTTGCGCAATGCCAGGGGAAAGAGATATGCAGCGCGTGGCGTGGAGTATACACGGCTCGGTAGAGAGGAGTATAAAGTGGCGCATACATCGTGGTGTTTTAAAATTGTTGGGCTACGCTCAATCAGTCGCCGGAAACGATCCGCCAGAACCTAGCTAAAAGCACTCGGATCCAGTCAGGCACTCTGTGCCCAAAAAATGGCGGCCACCAATGTTGCAACGACATGGTCAGTTGGGCCAATGTTGCTCGATGTTTATTTAAGGGTCTATTACGTTTCCACGTGCCGCGTGGTTTGATTAGCTTTGAAATTCTTCTTGTTTTTTTTTTATATTACTATCTCCCTTATTGCCCTCGTCTTCCAACACTCACTTTGTCGGAGTTTTTTTTTTGCCAGTCTTTAAAAACGTTATTATATATTCTCACCAACCCAAGCATACTACCTATTTATGGTTTGTAGAAACAATCAAAATGCAACAGTTGATAAAAACGATGCACCTTTTAGGACGACGGAAAAGCTTCCACATTGCCGAAAGCGGAACGTCAAGGCAGGCCTTGCCTAGACTGGAATTAAACCAGAAGCTTCACTTTTTGGCATTTAATAGTTGGGTCAAAACCAAACATTTTCTAACTTACTCATTTGCGTTCGATGATACGAAACCCGCTAATAACATTTTGGGGAAACGATCTATATAAATGCATGCATGCTTGTCTCGTTAGCATTCAAAACTTACGTTATGGAGAAGGGGGAGAAGAGGTGATCATAAAAACGAGAACTCACTTTACGATCTTGAAATATAGATATATGGGAGAGTTCTAACTTTCACTAGCCATTTACTGCAGGTTTTTTTTAAATTTCTTGCAAATACATGCGTGTGGCGTTGAAGCGGCGTTTTCGACGCTTTTCGACTCCGGACTCCTTGAGTTGGCATGATCACCTCGGTCAAAAATCTTTTATTCTCGTTGTTTAAATGACTACAAGCACTGATGCCAGTATCAGGACGTGAAACTGGATGATGGACCATGCAATTCATTATTCGTCGAAGATGGAAGTGATTTAATCTGATTTTCTGTAAGACGGGAGTCCACTCAAAGGGAGGCGTAGTATTCTCTCCGGGCCACCATCTGCGGCTGAAGATCGGCCAAGGTGGGGCACCCTGTGAGGTTAATGAATCGATAATGTAACACAATGTCTGCAGACTCACACAACAAAAGCTGCACAAGTGTGGTCATTGGACACACGCAGCGACATATTTTGTAGGCATTTTCTCGCTTATAACCGCCTCGGATAATGTCACAGCGCACGCACTCGTTCAACAAGACACTTTTATATGTTGACTGTTATCGCCGCGCAGCGACCCAGAAGCTCCCCCCCCCCCCCCCCCCGCCCCGCACAAACCTGCACCGTTTTTTTTTTTTTTTTTTTTTTTTTTTAGTGGCGGTTTGCCATTTACTAGAGTCTTTAGATAAGACCTTTCTACAAGTAGCCACATTCTTCAAAGCGCCGACCGCGTGGCGGTGCAGGTTTAAGGATGCGAATGGCGGCACACAGCAGAGGTTTGAACTTAATTCCTCCATTTCGTTCCAGCGAAATGTGCCTTGTCTTTTGTATTTGTTGTCGTTACTTGAAAAAGAAGTATCAAGATGCTCTCGCGTGGCCCATTGGACTTGGCCACCTTGCTGTGGAAACTGTCAGAGACGATTTACGTGCGGGCAGCATTCTCGTGCGCTTGCGATTACCAGATTGCCCAGAACGTTTAGAACGAAGACTGTCTACACTCGTGCCAGTCATGTGGTAATGTACAAAAACAACAACAACAAGGGTTTTGATTAATTTCTTACTAAGTTTAACAATCCAGAGTTCTTCACGCACCCGTGTGCGGGATGTTATAGACAGGCCTCTTGCGTTCCCCAGTGGTCGTATAATAAAGAGTCGTGTTTTTTTTCTTTATTGCGTAGTACAAGCCTGCGAATTAAAAACTGTGATGCGTGTAGAAGCCTACGTCACGCTCTGGTGCCGTACGCAGTCAGAAAACAAAATAATACAATAGCTATCGTAGTAAATGTCAAACATAAGACGTTATGAGCTTAAGTTGCTACACACAAAATGTTTTGATGTGATCCCGATGTTTTGACGCTGAAATCAAAGAAGCAAGGCGGGGGAATATATCCCGCCTTTCTAATGCTTTGAGGCATGGAATCTAGCTGATTTTAGGCGTAGAATAATGTTTTGTTTTGTTTTTTTTCTCGTACTTTGACCATACACTTCGAAATAAATAAAAGTCCGTGACTTCACTTTTCGGCAGTACAGAAGGCGGCAAATCAGGGCGAACAGCAGAAGTGTCTCAACCACTGACGACATGATTAGATCTTAAACAAATTCCATTGAACATGACGTTTCACTTGCTGATTGTCCCTGCGGACTTTGCAGTTTGGAGAATTGTATTCGGGGCTTCGACATTCCCTGCCGTGTACGTCTTTTGTTTTCCGTGAATGGTCGTTACTATGTTCAGCCGGAAAGTAAACTTTCAGATTGTTTTTAGAGGGCGTAAAGAAGAAAGAATCGGAACGCTGAGGTCGCTATGCGACGACCCTCTGGTACCCAGTGAGCTGAACTTGTGCTGCTCAAAGAGATGTCGCCCCAAGCAGTGCAAAGCAAAACGGGGTAAGAATTGTGCTATCCCAAAAAAAAAGGGCGCCACGGTTAGTTTAAAGCTTCAGCGTAGAAGGCTTATTGACAAAAATAAAGCGGAAACACTTCCCTCTTAAAATATGCATGTTCCTGTCAACGCACAAAAAACAGGTTGCACTCTTTGACAAAAAAAAAATGCTTTACTTAAAAGACAACTTTGGATACCCTACAGTGACGATCAAAACTGGGATTCTAGGTTATTTGGTTATTTCCGCGAGTGTCGACTTTCATACGTTACGCGAGTACAAAAAGATTGAGTTCACCAGAACATTTTAGACGTGCAAACTCTTTCCACAATACCCTAGGTCATATTATAAGACGTCCACATTACGTCGAATACAATGAGCAGGGTGGAGAACGATAACTTTATAACATCATAGTGGAGAACGACCTTGTGTAGTCGCTGAGAAAATTAGATCGGCAAAGCGTGTCTCTCCAACGCCCAGCCTTTAAAGCGCGCGTTATGCCTTCCACTGTGCTTTGGCTGCACGAGCGCGTTCGATATGCACGAGCATAGCCTCCTATATACTGAAAAAGTCTGGCACACATGGCCTGGCAGATCGCCACGAGAAGTGGCCGCCGAAACGGAAAAGGCGGAGCGACAGACAACGGACGAGAGGAGAGCCACGTGACTGGTGCCCCACTGCGACGAGACGCTGAAACACCCTTCTCACGAGCAAACGAGTGTGTTTTGGGTCCTCGCCGCTGTAAAAGCTGTGCGCTGACGTCCAGCTTCCCCGAAAAATGGCTCTTAATGCTCTAGTCCTACCAGATCCTCGAGCTCCAAATCTGCGACCTGGCACTCCACGGCTCCGTCGTCGAACTGCCAGGCTTTGTAAGTATAGAGGAGGCTATGGTCAAAGGTAGGAAGCTCGCGCCGGAAGAGGGACAACGGAGCTCCTCCCTGCCGTTCTCACATCGCCAGTGACTATAGCAGTTGATATCATATTATTGTTTACTTGAGTAGTGCAGTCTTCAATTACGTGCCACAGCACTGCGATAGTACGATGTTTCGCACATGGAGGGCACGCCCCCAAAACAAAACCTATTTATCACTGTGATGATGTAACTTAGTGTGCAAAAGAGGAAGGGTTTGTCAACCCATGGATCGGCTAGGAGGGACAAGGGAAGGCGATGAAGAAGAGAAGAGTTGAGTGCGTGCACAGATTGCGTGCGAGGGACTGGCCAGGATAACGTGCTGGGTCCGAAAAACGTCATCGGCCAGGGTCGCTAAACTCGTCAAACACAAATATTTTTTTGTGTTATGACACAGTGTGGGGAGCAGCCGAAAGGCTGCAGCAAAGTTTTCTTTTACCACAAACCCGCAGATCCGTGTATCTTCGGGACGCTTTTCATTGAAGGGGCGAAAAATTCCTACCCCTCCCAAGGCGCCGAACAAGAGCAGCACGAGAGAGAGCGTGCGGAGACGACCGTGGTCACGGTGTGACCTTGGTTCATGCGTGTGACGTCACGACAAAGATTACCTGCTGCGACTGACATGATTGATGGTCTCTAGAAAGCATGATGGAGGCTTTGGTTATTGCATTCTAAAATCAACACCGTCGAAGTTTGTGGTCGGATATGGTTCTTATTTCTGCCGATAAAGCAGAATTTAGTAAAAAGCATCCCTGCCACTCCTTTTATTTGCCTCGGCCTTATCGAAGTGTAGCCCGACGTGGCTAGGTCACAATCAGCCATGTGGTGTTGTCCACTTTCGGGCGGTTTTCGCCTCCGGCGGGATAAAATCATTTATAGTAGACTTTCGAAGATTAGCGGAACTGGGATTAATAGACCGATCTCACCTGCCAGTTTGACTACGCCACCACTGCCGCAATACATCGAGGGAGTTTCAGTCTTTCTGCACGTGCGACAAGCTCGCTAGAGCTCTGCGCGTGTGGAGCATGAGGCGGCACGAGCCGTCTTGTGCACTGCTGCCTGCCTCCTGTGAACTAAAGTTATGCCGGCGTCACGCATGCGCCGAACGCTTGGTGAGATCGGTCTATTCTGCGTTCATCAACGGAAACAAGAGTAACATCAGGTTATCAATATTGACGGTGATGTTTCGAGAATGCGAGGACACCAAGCTTCCATCGTATACATTCAGACTTGTCACCGTCGATTCGAACACGCACTATCGAATTTGCCGTTCAGAATCGATAATTCTGAACCTGGCGTCAAAGGTAGGAACTATAAAACGACGTCACTGAACGCACCTGCACACTACGAGCCCTAGCACGAGCCCACGGTGTAGGAAGGCTCTCGTGCACGAGCCTCTCGCTTGAAAGTCTGTGATGGCCGCTCGTGAGCTCATGGAACTCGAACCGTTTTAACTCCAGAATCTCTGGAACCATTATTTCGAAAATTGCGCGCTGTGCAGTTCCTCGTCCTCGCTCAGTTGGAACGCCTCCATGCAGGGTCGTCAAAACAGGAAGGCGGGGAGGGGGGCGCTGCGCCCCCCCCCCCTTTCCAGTGGCGTCAAAAGAGGAGGCAAAGGGCATAAAGCTGTAAAAGGGGGGGGGGGGGGGGCGCATTGCCCCAGCCCCGAGCCATAGCATTTTAGAGTTATAATAAAAAAATCGCGAGAGGGGATATCTTCTTTCTTCACTACCATCACCCCACCCCCTCTCTCTTTGCCTCTCCTGAACAATTTTTACGGCCCTTCCTGACTCCTATTTTATTTGTAAGTTTGTCTGTTGGTCATACTTTTTGTTTTTCCTTTCCCGGGTTTTTTTCACCATCCCCCGTCACCCCTTCATCTCTCAGAAATTACCGACGTCTCTACACACACCGCCTGTGGGTGACCCAGGCCAGGAGGCGTTGTTCACAGTGGCGGTTGTGTTAAAAAAACGCGTACACCGCTCACGGCTCCACATCACAAAGTTCAATCTTCGCTTCGATTTCGAAGCGAAGATTTTTGCCTCAAATACCTCCTTCTGAAAGTTGTGAAACGTCCCTTTGTCGCCACCGATAACTTTGACAAACGATGATCTTGCGGCGAAAAAGTTAAGAGCACTTAAAGCCCGCCTAGGTACAATCTACGCATCCTTTTACTTTAACGTGACGTAGGGATGTAGGAACACGAAGGCGCGACGTCATCAGTGCAGCCGTTCAATCGGCTGGCCTCACGGTGTTCCTCGCGCGCGTTCCGATGAAGCTCGCTGCGACTTGGTGTTTCAGACTCCCGCTGGAATTTGAGCACCGAGTGAGTTTGGATAATTGACATCTCGTCCCGCGTGACGCCCCCGTCGCGAGAGTCCAATCAGCACGCTTTGCGAACTTCGGCCCCAAATTTCTGTTTGACGAGTTTAGCGACCCAGGGCGATCAGCTGCTCGCTCCTGTTGTCTGACCAGCAGCCTTGTCCTAGCAAGGGCAGGGCATAGAAATCTGCGCTGCCCGGTTTCCTACTGCGAGAGCTCTTGGTACGGTGACTCTTGGGTCATCGACGGAAGCCAACCGCTCCCACTCCTGCCTGCCAGCCACAACCGTGGCCCGACAACGACAGCTCCAGACACGAGACCTGCTGTTGCGCAAGGTTGTTCCAAGACATGATGTCTGTTGCGGTCCCCTTTCTTTCATTTATTTAACTATGTTTTCTTTTTTTCTTTTAGTATTAGTATATGAACTCTTGGTTTCTTTTGTAAATACATGTTTCAAGAAAAACGAAGGACGCGTGCATCTTGTCTATATTTAACCCTAAAGAACCTTGCTACAATCATTTTTTCGCATAGGTGACAACGCGTTCGACTTGCTAATACGGTTGCGAAGAGGCAAATCACCCACCCATCAGCGCCATTGCTCTGTCAATCTCTTCCCTGAACATTCGCAGCATATCCTCCACGCCTTGCTGACCCTGTAAAAAAAACCACAGCGGTTCATTAATTCATTCATAGATTGTCTGAGAAACGATATCAAGCTTCCAGTTCGACAATTCAATACGAATATCTACAAATTTCAAAAAACACAAAAACAAAAGGAAAACGTCATGCACGTCGAGCTCCTGCTTTTTAGCGTTTTTCGCCACTTATCGGTGTTTGTTTACTTTGCATTCGCGCTACTGCAGTGCGTCGAATCTCGGACAGTTGGGCGCAAACACCCGAAAAAGACTGCACCAAAGCATGCAGAACGGTAGTGGTATGATCAATATGAAACACTAATTTCCTTTCGTAAACTATATGCTCGCATATGTCCTCAAAAGGGCAGCACCACCATAAGAACAGTGCTTACGTTAAAAATAGATTATATTCGCACTTGATTACCAATTAAAAAAACTCACACACATAAAAACACAAGCTGATGGGATAAATCAGCGTCAAATGCGCACCATCATGGTGCTCGTCATGTTTCCCAACATTCTCTACCGTTGCTGAAGAAATCATAACCAAAAACACCTAGTGACCCTTCAACGTTGTGAAACCCGAGTTCACCAGCTCGCTTGCATCTTCTCTGTAATTTCTATACACGTAGTGACTTGCGCTTTTGGCGCTCCTTGATTGTTACCCTTACCGAGTAGTGGCGGCTGCCTCTGGACTTAAGCTGAAACAAAGTTTAGGGCCATTGCACGCTAAGCCTTAGAGGCCCAAAAAGATCATCACAAATTTGGCCAAAACAAATAGTATGGCTTCTTGGCAATTTAAACTCACCTTTCCAATTATATCCTTATTAAATAGTTATTTATTTATTTGATACTACCTTTATAGTAAAAAAAAAAGAAACCTTACAGTTAAAAGGCTTAGTATTACTAATACAATTTTAAATATATATTATAAAATAAACAGTGATTGCATTATTTAAAGGGTGTGTCCACAATGTTTGAGTAGTTTTGTAACAAATGATAGTTTTCCGCCAGGGATGTGGCATCAAAAAGTACCTAAAACGAGTATTCTGGTCATTTTTTTTTTAACAACGCTCAAAACACGAGGCATTATAGTTGTTTGTGTTAGTGGCGGTTGGGAAGCAGCGCATCTGAACAAAAATGATTAGATATGAAGCATCAAGTACCTGTGTTCTAAGAAAAATGTCGACACTATACTGGAAGTCGATTTAATAATAGTTACTTTATCGTTCTTTGGAGCATAGATGCCCTTGCAACAAGTATTCAAATTTAGCCAGAATATGATATAAGGCAAAAAAATGCAATGTTGCAGAAAAAAAAACATACGTTTTTTTGGGGAAAGTAATTTTATATCATCATTAACACATGTGCATTTCTTTAGGTCGAATAGCGAATGCTCGTGTTGGATGAGACCTTGATAGTTTGGCGCAAATTTGCCCAAGATTTACCGATTGATCGATCCGATTACCCGATCGTTTTTGTTTTAGCGAGAGATTCCCGGGGAAACAATACTCAACAATAATGTATTGAAGTTTGTTTTCTGTAAAACATAAAGAAACATCGTGCATCGCTCGTGACTCCGAAGAAGCCGTTGTGATGCTCATCTATCATTTAACAGAACTAAGGGCTGATGTGACAAGGAGTTCATTCATCCGCGTTATGCAAAAAACCTCGTGCTTACAGACGTTCCCGAGAATAGGCTTGACCCTGACATTAAACTAAGAACATGTTAATTGTAAGCGAGGTTTACAGGCGCGAGCTTCTGTTAATATATTGGAACACTCTTTCAACTGGATAAACCACCAAAGCCGGCTCTCGCTCATAGCGTTTGGTGAAGTCGACAAGAAGACATGTGTGCCCACCTTGTACGCCAGCCCCCAGAGGGCGGGACGACCAACAAAGACCATCTTTGCTCCGAGAGCTAGTGCCTTTACGACGTCTGTACCCTGACGGACACCGCCATCCAAGTACACATCGATGTGTCCATGGACAGCACGCATAATCTTCGGCAGAATTTCTATCTGCAGAAAACACAACCACGTTTAATTGTAATTAAAAACACTATTTCGTGTCAATTATAAGTGCCGGAAAACATGACTCTGCACTCAAGTTACCGTGGAGGGGACTAAAAGCTCAGTCTTGTCTTGCTTGTTGCCAAGAGTTACCTAAGACTGAAACCATGAAAAGCACTGACAGAATTTTTCTTTTTTTTACATTAGTGTATTCGTGGTAAACTGATATCTGTAAAAGCTTTACAGTTAATATGTGTAACAGACAGCTGCGACCAATATCATGGGCGCCATCACCCTGTGTACACTCTCTCACCGAATATACCTACACCGTACATTATTAAAACAGTTCTCGCTTATATAAATAGTTTGCAAGAATAAGGAGTATCAGAAAAAGAATTCCAGGAGGCCCTAGAGACATTTTTTTTGCCTCACAAGCTCCTGCTAGTGCTATGGTTTCACCAGATCTGTTGCTCAAACTCCACTCTAATAAGAGCTCCTATATTATTGTGAGATTTTGCATTATTCTTTTTGTCTTTTAAAAAAATATCTGCAACGTGATGAGGGTTGGAATACACTTACCGTTGACGCTACTCCGTCAAGTTGTCTGCCACCATGATTGGAGACAATGATAGCAGGAATACCACTGCGCACAGCAAGGACAGCGTCCTCGGCTGAAATGAACTTTATCAGATAAATTATGAAACGCACCCAGCGAGATAAACAAAAACAAACCACCCGACGGTAGTGTGTCATAAGTTCAAAACATACGCAGCTTTTACGAAGGTAGTGCACAATGTCAAATGAGGGGTTATGTTTTCCGGGCTCGGAACTAGTAAAATATGCAAACAGACGAGCTGGTGGCAATTTAACTTTGACCACATCCTGTACCTCATCTCCCCTTGCTCACTTTTTTTATTCACATCGTTTTTTTATGCTGCGTCTCGATCATCACTTCCTGTTTATATTTCCCTTTTTATTCGCACTCATACGCCGCCTTGTAGCAAACGCAGTTTCAAGAAGACTGTGTTTATCACACCTGATAATAATGAAACTTTCCACGGCCTTTAAGATACAATGCAAGATGTTGTGTCTTCTTTATCAAAATCATTGGCATGGGAACAAGTGGTGTGAGCTCCTGCTAGGATTTATTAGCCAAAACACTTCATACGCATTGCTCCGCATACACCCAAAGCGTCAAGTGAGAGGCAATATGGCGGCTTCACTAAACTTTGTTTCACCTTAAGTCCAGACGCAGCCGACTCTACAAGCTGATGCGCCCAATCGGACAGCGTCAAACGTGCACCAGCATCGTGTTCAGCGCGCCAGCATCGCTGAACCAATCATGTAGAGGGAAGGCCTAGTGACTTGCACTTTTCACGCTGTTTCGTTAGTTTGACTAGCTTGTAGCGTCGCATGCGGCTGTACTTAAACTGAAACGAAGTATAACAGACGATACAGCTATCCCAAGGTACACGTTAACTTGGAGGTACGCTAAATGCGCAGTCGTTCGCTGCATTTCACAGTTGTTACTTCACCAGCAGTACAAATACGGACAGAACAAAGACGTGTTCCAGCAGCACTTTCTAGATGAGAATGCCGTTGTGCTGATTTAGTTTGCTGAGCTGAGTGCTAAGGAGGCGAACGCGGGACACGAATTTAACTCGAGTTCCGCTTCAGCGCTCGACCGAGATTCCTGTTCATTCGATGGGTGTACGAATCTCAGACGAATGATGATGCAGATCTCGACTTCAATCTAAACCCCGTGTTTTCCTCTTTTGGGGACGATGAAAATTTAGTCCTCTGGCCTTGCTAGCAAGGAGGCGTTCGATTCAGGCACAACGAGGGTGGTATCTCCTCGGGAATAAAATGTATGGCAAATTGCTAGGCAATAGACGCCCTTTTCGAAAGTCACCTGACGATTATTAGAAGGGCGAAACTACAGCACAATGGCAGAACGACTGACATCGTGAAGGTGCAAGTCATTCTATGAGATAGCGAACATCGTCGCCCGGCCAAAGTTAGGGGCCGACGAGCCAAACGAACAGCGTCGAAAGCGCAACGTCACTACGCTCATCACCTTTTCTATAGGTGCGTTTTTGCTTTCTAATCTCTCTAAACGCATAAGTGTGCCGGGACATGGCGGTTTTCGTTCGCTATTTTGCAGGGGCGCCACAGCTGCCAATAGAGGGCACTCTTTCGAAAAGGGTCTATTGGTTCAATTGTGTTGCATACGTGGTTTTGTTATAGGATCACAAACGTTTACCGATACGCTGAGTTCCCAGACGCTCTTCATCTGATAGTTGAAAGCGTACCATGTGTACGTTTGATAGTTGTTCCTAGAATGAAGCGATACTACCTCGAATCAGATTGTTATACCTGACGATCTACCAGAGCCTTATATGGGGAGGGCAAGTCCGTCTGCTTCTTGCGCGGGGGGTAGCGGTGACGTCGGAACGCCGAGCCCTGATTCGCTGATCGCGACCCCCTATCTGAGCGTCGTCTGCTCCTTTGCAACGTCGTCTGCTCGCAACGTCGTCTGCGTCTGTCTTACCTTTCCTGCGACTTTCGGAAGTCATGTTCATCGCTATGTTAAAACGTTTAGTTGCACGAGTTTCGTGAAAAGTACCTCGCGTTTAATGAGTTGTTCAAAGATAATCAGCCAAAGACAGATGACAGCCGATGTAGTGACTGTAAATAAACAAATGCGGCTGTGCGATCGGTGCTGTGAGCACATCATAGCCCAAAAGTGCTCGATCGCTGCTTGTTGTCACAACTTTCTCGCTCAACTAAAAGGCTGTTGTCACTTAGCGTATTGGGGTATCTATGTGTAACGTAAACCCAAATGGCAAAAGTTTGAAAACCTGTGTTAATCTGTGGAAGAGAATCCGAGCAAGATCAATCGAGCTACCCGAGCGGCGTCGAACGTATCGCGGAAGTTATGTCATACACTCGTTGACACCAAGAAGCAATTATTGTTATAATGCAATTAAATGCAAAGGTGCAAGCGAGCTGGACAAGAATGACGAAAATAATCCCTGGAGTAAGACAGTAACGCAAGACAGACGCAGACGGACGTTGCGAGCAGACGACGCTCAGATAGGGGGTCGCGATCAGCCAATCAGGGCTCGGCGTTCTGACGTCACCGATACCCTCTGTGCAAGAAGCAGACGAACTTGCCAACCGCATACTCTCGAGCTCCTCTCCATCAGAGAGCACAGGTGGTCGAGCTCCTGCTAACCTATCTCACTCCTCTTCGCCTACCCCTCTGGTCAAATGACCTCTCTGTTAACCAATCAGCGTCGAGCAACCCCCTCCTCCTCTCCAAAAACGTCAACAAATCAATGTCGTGCCTCACGACCGCGCTTTTATCTGGGTTTCACGAAATGCCGAACACTTAGCTAGAGAACGCCTCACGTTAATAATTACCGAAAATAATGACTTGCCGGTTAGGATTCCCTTGAGAATGATCGGAAGGTGGGTTATGTTCTTTAGCCATTGAACGTCGGTCCAAGTCAGGGACGGGTCGAGGAGCGAGTTACCGAACACATGCAGGTCCGAACCGCAGAGAGTCAGAGTGGCCTGCTCCTTCGCATTAAAGTTGGCCAACCTGCACGAAGTTGCAGAAAACAGCGAAGTAAGGGGAAACAAACACTTTTGTTTCCATAAAAAACTACAAATTCTTCCCCTCCTTCCCCTTAAAAGGGATGCTGAACCAAACGTTTCAGTGTCCATAGCAAGTGGCACACTATCTTTCAACGAGCCAGCAACCTCGGGTGTGCGCGAGCACACGCAACACAATTGACGTCCTGATTCTCCTTTCACGCTTAAGATGACAGTGAAATGTGTGTTCTCCGGGGAAATGAAGAGTAAAGACTGGCTTTTTATCTCTGCAGTGGAGTCTGGTGTAAACGGTAGACGATTAATTGGTGTAACAAACACGTAGGTTTCACTTGTGGAGATGAAAGCGTCTCAAAAAGTTTGTTAGTATGATTTCTTACAGATCTTTTCTTCAGTAAGAATGGTTTTAAAGATTAACCTTTTGTTGTCGTACAACCCAGACTGCATTTGAGTAGTTCAGATGGGAGGCGAATAATGAGTTATATAAAAGCAACTTAATTCCAGCTGGAAGGACATCACGAGGTATTTGTAATATGCCGCTGATACACGCAAGCATGGAAATGATATAGTCAGCATATCCAGTCCAAGTCACGTTCGTCGTGAAAATAACCCCCAAAGTTTTAAATGTCCTCTTTCAATAAGCGAGGAGTCTAAATAAATATCACTTAGAAGTTACACATTCCCACTTTTAAAGCTAAAAAAAAAAGAAAGAAGTTTTAATTTAATATAAGCATATTTGCACTAGCCCATATTTTGAGGTGTTTTATGGTATCATTCGCTACATTCGAACGCTAATTACAAGTTTTAGCAGAAAAAAAGGCTGGTGTCCTCTGCGTACATCGAGTTACTTGCTATGCAATGTTGAAAATGTCGTTAAGATGTATGCGAAAGAGTAACAGCCCAGTACGGTGCCTTATGGTACTCCAGATTTAATTGGGTTAACAATATCAGAGGAGTGGTTGTGGTTATTAACAAATTGCTGCCGATTTTCTAAACACAATTTTATAAGAGGAGCAGCATGCCCTCCAGTACCATGAATTTTAAGTTTTCGCATGAGCACTTTATGATTAATGTAGTCGAATGCCTTGTGTAAATCTAAGTAGTCTACTCTGCCGCAAAAGCTGCCAAAAGCTGTAGTCAATGGGGGAACATGACAAATAACGAAGCTGATATTACGTTTGGATCTAAAAAAAACTGTCGTCGCTGGGGCAATGAGTTATGGTAAAACGCTACAGCCCAGACCTTTTTTTTTTACATCTTAACATATTATTAGCATGAAAGAAACCCTGAGACACAGACAAATTAAATTAAGGACAAGACTACCCAAGCTCACATTTCATTTAGAGTTTGCGTCGTCTTTTTCGTTGTTTGATTTCTCCCTGTTTCAGAGTTCAGGTTATGCTTCTTACGCCAGCTCACACAGATACTTCCGCATCTCGAAATATCACCAGAGCGCAGCAATTGGCTTTCGTTCGGTGCTTCGGGGAAAAGAAGACGCTCCGGGTTTGTTAGGGCGGTACAGCTCTTGACAACTCAATAAATGAGGGGTGCGTCCCGTTGTGCTCACGCTTATTGGTTAGTAATTCGTTCTTGGACATTACCATAGACACGTTTCGCAATTCAGTCTGGCGACTTTGATCACTACTGTCAACTCAGTGGATGGCATTTGTTAGTGACCCTAGTATGTTGTAAACTGATGCCGGCCTTCTTGAAGCTGACGATGAAAGAGGTTGTAGATACCATCAAGCAGAGGATATATGTAGCATGGACGTTCGAGACGTCAGTACAACACGGCACACAAACAAGATGCAACGGCTGTGTAAGCCGTTATTTCACAGTGTGGTCTAATCAATTTCTTGGTACAAATTTGGCTCTAAAGCCTTTAGGTGGTTGAACGTTAATCAAGGTGTTTATCGGACGCTTCTTTATACTGGTCATTTCTTATGCTTATACCATCGAGAGAGAGAGAGAGAGTAGAACGAACCAAGAAAAAAATTATGAAGTGATCGAAGAACCAATTTTTATCTGTTATTGAGTTGCAAAATTGACGATGTCCCAAGAATTACGGTTTTATGACTGCCATTAGTTCTTCGAAAGTGAAACTGCGACTTTGGCCATTAGGTGGCACAGTGGCAGTGTGTGTGAACCAGACTTCAGAAGAGTCGAAGCATGGTTACAAAGTTACGTACTTGAGGTGGCTGGGCAAGCGGAAACGCCCCCGGACGTCGGAGAACTTTCGGCCCAAGGTGGGCGAATCCACAGTGAGGACGATGGCGCTGTAGCCGGCCCGCTCGGCCCTTTTGACGAGTCTCCTGCTCAGCTCCCGGTCCCGGATTATGTAGAGCTGGTACCAGAGGACGGCGTGGGGAGCCGCTTTCCGCACGTCCTCCAGAGACGCGGTGGTGAGCGTGCTGAGGATCATCACAGTGCCGGCCTTCTCGGCAGCTGAATTATATATAAAAATAACGCGGAAAGTTAAACACCGGTTTGTACATGCAATGATGCGCTATCTCCAGCGCTAGTCAACACTACATAGAAACATCGCAGTTGCAGTGAGATGTTCAAGACATCGCTGCATCCACCAGTGATGTCTTGAACATTTCGGCGTCGTGTTGAATATAATGGGCAGTGGTTTATGCTGGATCACCTTTGTGTACCGGCACACCGCTAAGTCAGCGCTGCAACCGCTCTAGGATCAGCAACATTTCCAGCAATGACTGGGCGCTTCGCTGTATATGTGAACGAGCTTTAAAAATCGAAAATGTTCCGTTTCATATTTTGCAAGTCTATTCAAAACTTTATTAACATAAAATGTGTTTTTCGGCCGATTTCTGTGGAGTTCTGTAACGTTTTACCGGAACGTGTGGCTGGCTTTACAGGCGGCTTGAAAGGAAAAATGTCAGCGAAAATCTTTACACCCATAGCGACTTTAGGAGAATTCGACCATCGGCAGGATTTGACCTCATCACCTTGAGATTATGAGACAAGTGCTTTGCGGACTAAGGTATCAAGGGTCGGTCTCCAGAACGCACAGAAGTAAAGTCCTCGTCGCGAAGGCGCGGGCGCGGTCGCGCGCTTCATTGTTGAAACGTTTTATTTACAAGAATATTATACAAGCTTTATCATGCGGACAAAAACTGGTAAGCACAGAATGTGTCATAGGCTTTCCAGGTAGGAAAAGTGGGCCATCTGAACGGCAGCGCCTAACGAACATTCGCTCTCATTTCTGACATATGCCATTAGTTGGCCTGGCATGACAGGAAAGGCCGTGACCGATGATGATGATGATGATGATGATGACGATGGTGATGGTAGTAGTGGTACTGCTGCGGATGATGACGATGAGAATGGTAGTAGTGGTACTGCTGCTGATGATGATAACCACGACGATGATGGTGGTGATGGTGGTGGTGGTGTAGGTGATGATGATGATGATGATGCTAATATGACTTTCTTTGGTTTTGGTTAATCGGGCGGTTCTGAAAAAAGGTCATACCCAGCCAAGAGTTCAACCGACACGTAGCGCCATCTATTTGTGGTCAGTGAAATCAGGGACACTCCCTCCAAAAGGTTTGTACGATTTCGCACGAACGTTTCCTACCCGCGTGGCGTAAGCGTCTTTTTTTTTTCTTTTTTTTTTCTTGAAGGACGATTATGACGCTTTTCACCCGATTCAGTTCCCTCTGAAAATTTGGGCGCCGTCATGGGGCTAACATCTCGCGACCTTCCTTACAATTCGTTTGCTTGGTCAACAGTAGATTTCTCCAAAACCTTGAAGGTTAGAAAGCGTTTGGAAAGAACAATTCACATGCTTCTCCCCCCCCCCCCCCCAAAAAAAAAAAAAAAAAAAAGCAGATGTACGCAACGCGGACGTCTCAGTGGACAGGCATTCGAAGGCAATATAAGGGTATTCACTTGGGCTAGTTGGTGATACATTGTAACAATTAAAAGCGCTAAAAAACACAACGACCAATAGAAGAAGAAACAGGCCAAGAGAGCACTTGCAACTAAAGCTTAGTCTGAATTGAGCAAACCAAAAAGAAACATATACGCCTTATCAACAAAGCACCTATGTCATGTAAGCACATTGTCCTACCAATCTACGTTTATTCTTACTAGCTTGGCCTATTAAATGACTGTAAATATGCCATCTCCAAATCGTAGAGTGCAATCGATGGGGCGCAAACGCAGATTTCGTGACTGCACTTTATAAAATACTTTGGCACGCACTGGCAATGAGGTCGTCGCCCGCGGGTAATCTTGCGGTACATTGCAATAGATGTGATTCTCTCCCCAAGTTTCAGGACACAATTATCTAGAGCCGGAACCAAAACAAAATGACAAAGGAAATTTCAGAAGCGTATTTTATAAAAAAAAGTGCGGTCACTATACGTGCGTTATCGCCCCATCGATTCGGAAATGGCATACTAAGGAGAAAGCCTCATATGTCTCATCGTTCAGTCTAACTTCAAAGTCTTTGAGCGAAAACACGTGGCCGGCACAAAAGGTTTTAATGAAATGGCGCCAAAAGTGCGTCGTCAGAGAGACCACTGTCGTAGGAGGTTCGCTATCGCCCTTACATCGGCGCTATGGCTTTCGCCTCCAAGTCGTCTTAGGGATAATATTAGAAACCCTGTGGTTTTTTTAGGGTCCTTTGATAGGTCAAGCTAGTAATAATAAATGTATACTAGTAGGACGATTTTCGTACATGACACGGGTGTTTTAGATGCGGAGTATCTCTTGCTCAAGTCTATGTCCCGCGGCGTCGTAGTCCGCACTTACACTACGCATGCGCAACTCTCCTCCTTCCCTCTCTCCAACAGCTGCGCGTTACTCTCTCCGCTCTCTCTCTCTCTCTACCAGCTGCGTGCACTTCGCGTGCGTTCGCTTCTACTCACACCGCGCGCGCATGCGCAACTCTCCTCCTCTAGTCTCCTCTCCAAGTGTGAATATAAGCAGCGGTAGCGCGCTGCGCGCGTTCAGTTCACCCGCTGTTGACTCCACTTCACTCCGTTCCTCAGATGAAGTGTGATGGAAGCAACAGTCCCGTCTGTTAGTGGGTTGGTGCAAGCAAGCGTCAGCACCACCCCACAAACTAACAGCAACGCTACGTCCACTGAAGACAAAGCTGTGCAGCGAAGGGCACGCGACGCTGAGCGCAAACACTTGAAGCGACCGGCAGACCCTGAACTACGGCAACGAGAAGCGGCGTCCATTCGTCAACGTCGAGCGGCGGATGCTGAACTACGACAACGTGAAGCAGCGGCGGTTCGAGAACGTCGAGCAGCAGAACCTGAGGTTCGGGACCGTGAAGTTCAACGTAAACGTGCAAAGGAGCGGCGGAACCCGACCTTCGAGAACGGGAAGCCGCGTTGGTTCGTGAACGTCGAGCAGCAGAACCTGAGGTTCGGGACCGTGAAGTTCAACGTAAACGTGCGAAGGAGCGGCGCAACCCGACCTTCGAGAACGGGAAGCCGCGTTGGTTCGTGAACGTCGAGCAGCAGAACCTGAGGTTCGGGACCGTGAAGTTCAACGTAAACGTGCGAAGGAGCGGCGCAACCCGACCTTCGAGAACGGGAAGCCGTGTGTTAACACCGTTAATAACGATCCGCGATGCTCCTCATCACCCCATGGTTCCCCTCGGGAAGATGGTGTAATTTTTTTTGTTGATAAGACAGGTATTCGTTTTTTTTTTTGTTTTTTTTTTATCCTGTTTGATGAATTCTTCTTAAACTTATGTTGCAAGCGTGCTCTTGGTGTGTGTGTCTTCTTTTACTAGTCCTCGTCTTTTTTTAGAGCTTTTATTCGTCACAACTTCGAAGACACGAGTTCGAAGCAGTCACAAAAAGGGTCGTTGATATAGATGCCGTTCGGCTACTTGCAACAAGAGGCCTGATGGCGAACACGTTGCAAAGTGAAGTTCAGTCAGGTGGTATTAGACTTTAACTTAGATAGATTTATTTAACATTGTACGTTCACAGTGCTGCGCGCAACCAGACGTCGCCACCCGGCAGTGACCGTCCTCCAATACCCGAACCAGGAACCCAACCGAAACCCAGTTCGATCCGTTTCAAAAAGCCCCTCCTCATCCTTGCCCCGCCTTTTGACCGTCGGAGTCAAGTTCCCTCTCCCAAACGTCCGAACCAATCGCCCAAATTCCCACGCTCTTTTCTTTCTGGTAGACGCATCACAAGGAAGCGCCGTGAAGATTGCTGCTCCCACGAATCCGGCCCTCTCGCGCATTGAACGCAAAGCCGACATGTTCGGCAAAATTTACGACTCCAGAAACCACATCCGGCAGCCACCCATGGGAGCCAGTGCGTCCCGTTGTCCCGGCTCCCCAATTAGGCAGACGCCCGCTCGAGGCGCTCCTGAGAGCGACATTCCCACGACACCTTCCCCAATTCCTGGTCAGGCGTCGTGGGTCGTGGTTGTCTCCCTCTGCCGCCTGGGGCGATTCTTCCGACGACACGACTGCACTTCGACCCAAACCGACCAAAAAAAAAAGAATGAATAATATGCCTGTACCTAGCTGAAGCCAACAAAATGGCCATAGCCAACGAGAGTTTAAGAAACGGAAGGCGTGGTGAGTTCCAGTCTCAAAATAACAGCGCAACTATAAAGAACACACCAACACAAGTCACCACAGGCCACAAAAACTATCACACATAGTGACACAATCACAATAGACAAAAGACTCACACAGCGCTGACTCACAACTCAATCTACAGGGTGTCACAACAAAATACAGGTTTTTGTTTTTCTTTTTACCGCAAAAATAAACTAAGCATCGCCGAACGCTCAATCTCCTCCTAAAGGTAGCGCTAAAGGTAACAACCAGGTGACAAAGTTTCAGCCAGATTCGATACCTTATTCAAAAGTTATAAATGATTTTCTGGAAATTTCAAGGGGAAAATGGCGGCCGACGGAGTTTTCGAACACATGGGGCTCTATTGCGCCAGAAACCGAATACGGGCAAAAATGGGCCCCATTTTTCCATAGAAATTTTCAGAAAATCACTTATAACTTTTGAATGAGGTGTGCGTTCGGGCTGAAACTTTGGCATCTGGTTGTGACCTCTATAGCGTTACCTGTGGGCGGAGAATGAGCGTTCGGCGATGCCTAGTTTATTTTTTCGGTTAAAAAAAAACCCTGTAAATTATTATTTTTGTGTGTGTGTGTGTGTGACACTCTGTATATTTTCGCTTCTTTTTCTTCTACGCCTTTTCGATAGAGAGAGAGAGAATAAATATTTATTACAATAAAACGCTCAAAGTGGATTTTTTAGCAGATGCAGGAGCAACGCCGACTACTAAAGCCCATTGATTGAAATTATAAGCAGCATATAAACTTGACAAAAAAAGAATATGTACGTATAAATACAATAAAATAATCATTTACATGTGTACAGTTTCCAAGAAACCCGACGTCACAATACGTCCGCC